TTTCATTGACTTTTATTTCATCTGGAAGTAAGACATCTATGCATTTTTATAAGCAGATCATTTTATAAACACAAAGGAGCAAAATGGCATGTAAAAAGATGGTTTTACAAATACTGCAGATATGGTAGTTTGGGTACCTTATCTATATGTGCATCTTTTGATAAATTGAGGCCTTTGACTGAGGCTCTGCTCTGCAAACCCTCAGCATCTTAAAGTATGCACATGGGGTTGTGGGAAATGACGTTTTCAGCCATTGTGTCCAGGCTTTTGTACCCTCTTCACAGAGATGTCCACCTGTTTCCTCTCTCCTTACCTTCTGGCACTGTCTAAATATTTTTCGTTTGTTTGCAGACACAACAGCTATTATGCCCTTTGCTTGTTCTACTGGCTTTATCTTCATCTGTTTTTAAAATTGTTTTTATTACATTTCATTGGTTTTTAGGCGCATTTTGGTATTTATTTTTGTTGGCTGCTATGAATGCTTCCAAAGCAGGAAAATGGGATATAATTGTTTTTTAAAAAGGATGAATCGCTGCACTTATGCCAAGCGCAAGGCCCAACTAGCTCTTTCAAGTAAAGTGGGTGGCTAAAGCCAAACTCTTCCTCGCAATTTGACTTTGCATACACAAACCTTGGCATGGTGCAGGAGGCTCAGATACTGTGCTAACCTATGTTTCCAACCATCCCATCTCACTCTCTTTTGTATTCCCTCACTGTTGATCATGCTCCTTTGCTCACTTGGTAGTTCTGCAAGGATGCCTACGCTTATCTTGATGATAAGCAGCAGAACTCCCATACAGGTGCCAGCCAAAGTAAATGATGTAGAAGTGAAACGGCTGACGCCACTGATCTCCACAGGCCAGTGTCCCATTTATGTGTATATGCCTTTCTTTAAAGGTAAAGGTAATATGTAAAGGACCCCTGGATGGTTAAGTCCAGTCAAAGGCTAATATGGGGTTGCAGCGCTCATCTCGCTTTCAGGCTGAGGGAGATGACATTTGTCCACAGACAGCTTTCCGGGTCATGTGGCCAGCATGACTAAACCGCTTTTGGTGCACAGAGGAACGTGACAAATGCCAGAGTGCACAGAAACGCTGTTTACCTTTCCGATGCAGCAGTACCTATTTATCTACTTACACTGGTGTTCTTTCGAACTGCTAGGTTGCGGGGATTCGAACTGCTGACCTTCTGATCAGCAATTTACCTAGGATAAGTGTGCTTGGTTGAAGGAAGGCAAACCAACAAACCAACAAACAAGCAAATAGCTGTTCTCTCCCTTAACATGCCCTTTGCATAGCACTATTGTTTTCATCATACTATATTTTTTATCATACTATATTGTAATAGCAACAAAAGCAGTCTTCAAGCCATATGGAGTTTATAAGGAGACGCGCATCTGTCAACATTGTTAATTTAAATCCAGCCTAAATGGATAGAGGCTACACAAGTGATTCATTGAGCTTTATAAGCCCGTAACATAATGAATGGATGGCTTCATTTCACTTTTGTATTTGACCTACTACATTTGTTAACTATTTTTTGGTGATTTGATGGGGAAGGGATAGCAAAAACCTTCTCAATGTTAGGAGTCCTGTGTTTTTGTGACAGTACTTGGGACAACAAAGACATTTGGTCAAATCTAACCTTGAGTGGCAAACACTACAGAAACTCACTAGTATATATTAAGGAAGGAAGGAAGGAAGGAAGGAAGGAAGGAAGGAAGGAAGGAAGGAAGGAAGGAAGGAGGAGAGGCTTCATTCAGATAAAGTGTGCAGATTGGAGAATGTCTGTCTCACCCTGATATTATAAAAACCATGAAGAACTACAGCCATTTGGGCATATAAGCAATACATTAAAAACACACACACACACACACACACACACACACACACACACACACACCTGAACAACCTAAGATTGGTCAATAAGCAACAATTTCCCATACCAATGCTCAGCAAAGACACATAATCAAACACATGTTTCAGCACCATGATTTAGTAAGTTTTTGCAGTTTTTTTAAACTGCTTATTGTTCATGGTTTGATTGGAAGGTACTGTTTTTGATTTATGCTAGCCCCTTTTGGCTCTTAATCTTTGTAAGTCAGTCAGAGACTTTTCTGCAGCAAGCAGTGAATCAATCAATCAATCAATCAATCAATCAAATAAATAAATAAATAAATAAATAAATAAATAAATAGTAACAACTTGGAATTCCAGCTTTCCAGGATGCAATTTTACAGAGAAAAATCCAGAGTTTATGTATGATCAGAATACAAATCAACAATTTGGTGCATTAGTACAAGTGGACCATTTTGGGGGGGGGGGCTGTATTAATCACTTCACATCCAAGACCCTGGAAGCAGTAATTTTGTTCTTGGCACCATTGGTTAAGATACCTCTCAGAATAGCAGTCTCAGATCTGGGTGCTACAGTTCAAGAAACATGGTGAAAGACTAGAAAATTAATATAAACATTTATCCCATATTAAGTCAAGCTGAAGGAATGTTGGCTGTACCCTCAGGAATTATTTGTTAAGGACGGAACTACATTCTTCAAGCATTTTGATGAATGACAGAAAGAGGCTGATGACAACTGTTCACGTCATCTACTAAGGGAAAGCATAAATGTAAATTTGGTATATTAGGGAAAAACCTATTTCAATCATCAACCATAAATGGCTTTGGGTGTTCTCTGTGAGGTGAGTTAGATTGGATCATCATTGCATTTGAGTCCTTCCCAACTCTTAAGAATTGTTCTAATTCCATATCCTTTCCTGTGATTCACAACTTTATCTTATGTTGTCATTGAATATACAAGCATGAAACGTTTCACAATATCTCTTTCCTCTTCCAGCCTGTTGGGTAGTAAATAGTTTTCTTTATACCAAATCAAATAGTATCTCTCTACACTAACAAAATTAAGGAGACCACTCAACTTAGTACTGGAAATTATTGGGGGGGGGGGAGTCTGACAGCACTAGAGACAAAAATAATTACAGTATGCTGATGTTTTATACCATTTGCACTTTTCAAATACTAGCACACAGTTATTAGAAAGAGAAAAGACCTAGGTATTTTTTCTCACTGCCAATATAGTGGGAACTGACATATCACTATGATATAAGTCTAACTGTTTTGACAGTACTACTGGTAAATTATTCCACAAGTTAAGATTCCAATTGACATTTTGTTACAGTGGTAGTCTACAGCAGATTCCAAAGGACTGTGCACTAATCTGCACACGAGGCTCTAGTTGGGAAATAATTGTTTTAGTAATCATACTTGATAATATTTCTTCTTTTCATTTTTTCCACATTATGCTATTTATGGTAACTTGCAACCCATGGGCATAAGTTAGACCACAGATTACCACTATCTATCCCAACGTCATCTTCCCACATTGATCTGAATGTCTCCTTTACATTCTGCAGTTCTATTTCGCCTGCTTCAGCACTGACCTCTTATGTGTATGCCTCCATATTACTAATGCATTATCAAAAAGTGACGGCAATAATTGTAAACCACTCATCAAACTGTGGTATACAATCATGATTTGCAAGACAAGCAAGTACCATAGTGTAATAATGCAGACATAGAGACAAACTATATTTTGCTATAAGCAAGAAAGGGAGGTGGTTATTGCAGCATGTAAATAGAGGACGGAGCATATGAGGGCCTGAAGTTTGGTCAAGGTTCATTCACATAACGTGAAAACATGCTTTGGCATTACAGAGGAACCAAGCATTTGTCTTGTGCCAGTTTGTCAGTGTTACACATTTTATATTTTAGCATTTTTAATCTGCCATAAATTGCATCCACTGCAGTACATCTCTATTCATTTTTGTGCTCGTTGAAGCATTATTTGTTTCTTGCTTGTACATAGTTTATGTAAGTCTGATTAAGGTAGGTTCTAATATTGTTCTTGATGCATCTTATTCAACACTGTCTAGCCTAGATTTCCAAAAGAGTGACATTTTGCTCTTGTGCCTTATTCTTAATGAAATGCTCCGAATGCAGAAAAGCTGGTAAATGTACAGTATGTATAATACAGCATTTTTAAGTTTAAATAATGCAATGAAAGCAATATTTTTGAGAAAAATACATTATTTTATACTAAACAAGATAAACATTACTAGATATTAAGCATTCATAAGGGATGTAATCTATGTTCATTTATATTTTTTAGGGTGCTTTATTTGCAAAATTTGGAATATGAACAGTATCTATTAGTTAATGTAGCCATCTGTAGTCCTTTGCCGGAGGATAGGCAATGAGCAAGGTGAATTTATATGCTTCAAAAGAACACAGCTGGCTGACGCTAGAATTTCTTTCCTACACACTATGAAGATGTTTTTTACTAAGTAATAACAACAGAAGAAGGACAGCCTAATGTTTCCTTAAGATGAATAAATCTCCCCCAGTTTTGTAGAGTCTAGTCTATGTTGCCTAATTCAAAACTATATTTTAAAAAGATATGAAAATATCAAGAACTTGTTGAACACCTATAGGTACTATAGTCTCCTAATTATGTATTACCCCTATCATACTACTGAGAATGTCACTGGCCACAGTTCAAATGTCACTGGTTCCTATAATGAAACAGAAAAGCTGAAGCATTAACAATTTAGCTTCTTTTCCTGCTTTTATTGTAGCGTTTCTGAAGTGGCAGCTAGTAGTTCCTGGATCTGGTAGGGAGGTCAAGGAGACAGGGCCAATAAGGTCACATGGGTGCAACCAAGGAGGCTACATCAGTGAGGCCAAATTGTTCTGGTTTTCCTCCCATCCTCTCTTGCAAAAGTGTAGGCATAAAAGCATTGGAATTGGATAAGTTCGTAGCACCTCCCTAAACTGAAAAATGTCTAGCCTTGGGATGAAAAGGGGTCCTTGCTGTCACACTTTCGAGTGTAGGTTAATGTCACAATAACTATACATTACTCAGAAATCAGCTCCACTAAATTCCACATCCACTACATAAAGTAAAATAAATGGAGAAAATACTTACAGTCCATAAATCTGGGGAGCAATCTCTAGCCTGTTCAAATGCATGTAGAGTTCGATATCATGTTTCTTTAGCAAATGATCTTGAATCTGATTTACTTTCGCTACTATAGCAATTGATGGGCCTAGATCTTGTGGTCTAGCAAACGGAACAGGTGTCATCATTGCATCTTTCTCCTAATGAAAGAACAACAACAAAGTGAAATGTAAAATGAACTATACTATTAGAGCACATTCTAATACAAAATTTTAGTAAAGGTCCAGTTTGTATGTAACCTGAAACTACAGTTAAAAATAAACTATGGTTTAATGAGAAAAGGTATGGGGCCCATTTTGCTCCTCTGACATTCCTGTCTTTGATATGCTGGGAGGAAAACAAACCTGAGGCTGGCTTAGCATTGCATTCGAACCAGTGCTCATGTTTTTTTCTCCAAATAAACCAGGAGCAGAAGTCAAGGTTTACTTAGCTTACCAATCATACTTTATTTTGGGGAAACAAACCACAAGTGCAAGCTCACACATAGCATAAATCCAGTCTTTGCTTCCAGCACAGCAAAGAGAGAAGAGGGGAACAAACTGGGCATGCAATTAGCAGAATGCACCTACACTTATTCTTGTTAAATCATAGTTTATTTTTAATTATTGTTTAATGTGATTGGTAAACCAGACAAATATCCAATTGTTGGAATGCAGATATTACCAACATATTATCTCCAGCAACTGAGGGGGTATTTTTTTTCATAGACAAACATTCCAGACCAGAATGTCATTGGTGGGTAGGTGTATAAATTTAATCTATGAAGATTGACATCAAAATACACCAAATACACCAAAACAAGGACCATGAAGTGGGGGAGGGGGGAACAAACAAAAATAACAGCGAAACTGCTAAAATTTCTTATTTTGCAATGACAGTTGGGAGGTTTCATAAAATCCAATTACACATTCATCTAATGAATAGAAGAAGGTAGGCAGAATTGTACAGTCCACTCCTTATCACTTAACCACAATTAAAGAGATCCCGCAATACTACATTTGCCTAAGGTGGGCTGAAGGTTTGGGGAGACTCTCAGACAAGATACCTCAGGAAAAAGCACTTCAAAGATTTTGTTTCAACATATTTTAGAAATGTTAACTCCTGTCTTATTTCCTATTATACCTCTGTTCTTTAATAATCATATTCTACAAGTTCAAAAAGTACTTGATTTTTATCAGCATGTACCTTTTGACTGTCGTGCTCATAGGTAGAAAACCAGTGTTCTGCTGTTTTCATAAGATGGATGAACATAGCACTAAAGACAAAAGTTTTTTGATAAGTACTTTGATTAATAATAATACAAATATAATAGAAATGTAACAGAAACACGAAATTATCAAAACTTACTAGGCATCATGCTCCAGGTATTCAGGGTTCAAAAGAGCTTTCATTTCCTCACTGCTTAGAATAACAAAAACATGTAAAAGTTTATTTCTGGAAGATTTTAAGCTAAGTTATAGAGGAACTGCAAGTAAGTACAACTAGCCTTTGTAATTAAAAAAGTAACTCCACTGAAGACAAATGAAGTCCTTACTCTCTCTAAAGATCAAAAACAAATTAGCTGCCTTGTCTGCACTACAATGAAGTAACCATCTAATTATTCCAAATAACAAATTACTGGGTGCCACAATGTATTATTTGAATATGCTTGATCCAGAATAATTGATCACTCCACAATCTATCACTGTTCGTTGAAAACAAAAAATATTGTTACTGGTCAAATACACAATTATCAAAGCAGTAATTTATTTTAATAGAATCTATTTTTATCACATTTTAGCAGCAATTAATCAGTGACGACACCTCTTATCCATTTTCTTCTCTGGCTACAGCTCTAGAAGGAAATAAGCGGCGGTATTATGCACAAAACATGGTTACTTTGAAAAACCTTGACACTTTCTTCCTGCATACATTGGCCAGGATCCAAAACGCTATGTGTGGAACACCACATGTGCCAGCGAATGTCCCATCCTACTTCTTGCTGCAGCCCCTAGTGCATGCTGAAGTGCTTGCATAAGGGGTTGTTTGGACCCTGCCAATGATAAAACACTCTAATGATCCATATGTTATTTCGTGCAACAGCAGTTTTATATCCCATGCTGTATATGAAGATCTTCCCCTCTCACCCTGCGGAACAAATGGCTGTTGATATCAGGAATGATTCTCTGCTGGGAGGGTAACTTGCTTAGAGGGTTGTTGTTGTTTTTTACAATCAAGCAGTATATTGATTTTTTTTGGTTAATTTTGTTAAATAAATAAATAAAACAAAACAGGATGCTGGACTAGATGGGCCTTTGGCCTGATCCAGCTGGGCTCTTCTCTCCTTACTACGTAGCCTTTTTCCACCAACAGAATTTCCTACCTTGGGGATACAGAGGACTAAAAGGTCTCTGGACCAGGTTAACGGACCTCTCTTTAAAGAGTAGTACTGATATGTCTTTTACCTGATGTCATGTCATTGTTGAAACATGGTTTTTGACTATTTGCATTACATTGCAAACTGCATGCGGTGCTTGTTGATCCACATACTGCTTGAGATCAATACCCTAATAATTTGTTTTGTATGGAGAAATGCAAGATACCCACCTTGGTTGTGCAGCTTCACTTGCATGTAGATAAGCTTGGTGGTCACAATGCAGAATAAAGACAATTGGTGCTAGGAGTTCATGCATTCCCTACAGCAAAATAAAAATCAAGACTTTATTTCACATGCCTGGGATTTCTACATCAGCACCAACTAAGCCAGAAAAAGTTGTCTTAGCATAAAAATGATGGCTATCTAATAGTTTTATTGTAAATGAAACTAATACTAATTGTTTACTCTCCTATACAAACAGGAACTCCATCTGATTATTTTTTTAATGGAACAAAAAATTAGTAGACCACAATTCATTACTCAGTAGTTACATCAATAGTTATGTGAATAATTGTTTTACTTAAACATTGGGCAGTTAGGAGCTATCTTGTGAAGACACACATAGAGGATAACTGAGAATGGTATCAAAAATTGTTTCCCAAAATTGGAAAATCAATGATTGCTATAAAGTACAGAATTATTTACATACTTTTAGAAAATGGGATTAGAAGGAACCTAAGAGAAATACATTCCAATCCACTCAGCTAAGATGAGAATTCCATATCCGCATAGCTTAAAACTAGTGATAATGGATAATGTCACATAAGATGGGGCCCAATCCCTTCTTAACCCTGTTAAGCAGATCTGCTAGACCTATTGGCTAAATTTGCTCAAAAGAAAATTGTTCATTTTATACAGGTTAACCAACACAGTATCACAACTTTGGTTATGAACATCTAAAATGCTTCAGAAGAAACGGCAAGAAATTGGGGTACTTGGTTGATGGTTATTTCTTTAATGTTACAGACAGAAATAATTTTCCTTCCATGTGTATGTTTAAATGTAAACATTAAAAGCAGAAGGTACTCTGAAAGGTTGGAAATAGATAATATAAAGCCTGTCATTTTTGAAAAAAATGTTTAGAATAAAAAGAGTGGAAAGAGAAAATTTATATATTGGGTAGGCTGAGCACATCTTTTTATTTTTTCAGTTTTAAATTGTCACTAGTTCATAATGTTAAATGCACTCTTTTGAATAAAAAAGAGAAGTTTAAACCTTCTCTAAATTTTGCTCACTCCAGTAACTTGCATACTCAGTCATAAAAATATCTTGAGGTCATATTGGAAAGACTGCTTATGAACAGATATGCTAGGATAAGGCTTCCAAAAGAAAAATAAATCAATAATGACGGGGCATCTAGCTCCTATAATACCTTTGAGAATCCCAGCATTGTTAATAAAAATAAAAGCTTGGCTCAGCAGAAGCTGGTGGGGCATCGTTCACAACTGAACAGGTCAAACAACTATCAGGTACCATGGAAGACTTAGTTTTGATTAGCGCTATTCAGTCATCCTCTTTCACTATTACTTAGCCACATAGAATAATAGAATTGTAGAGTTGGAAGGGACCTCAAGGGTAAATCGGTCTACGCAACTGCAATGCAGGAATCTCAGCTAGATCATACATGACAGATGGCCATCCAACCTCTGCTTAAAAGCCAGCCCTAGAGGAATGTGGGGTTGGGGGGGGGGCGACAAAGGAAGGCACCCCTAAGGGCTCCAAAGCAAACACAACTGACTTCCCATGGGCTCCTCCCTTTCAGCACTCCTGGGCATTGCAGGAGTAGCCTAGAAGAAGAACTTACTGTCCATGCTCACAGGCATCATTTTACAGCCCCACTGTATCCCAGGGTGGGCACAGAGGAGGACCTTAGCCTGGAGAGAAGGGGGAGGGGTGCAGGGCAGCAGCTCCATGCTATTTGCCAGGCGAGGAGGGAGGAGCAGGAGGCAGAAGTGCCACAGCAGTCAGCTCAAAGGAAGCAGGGAGAGAAAAGGAGGGTAGGCGGAGTTGCTAGGAGCATGACAGGCATTGCTAGGGGTGCCCAATGGCTGATGCCTGGACACTTTGTGGCCTCTGCTAGTCCTGCTACTGACCACTTCTTGGTCTCTTCCAAGGGTTTTTGCCAGGCAGGCAGGGAACTGCCCACAGAATTCAATGGAGAGATGCTTCTTGTGGGAAACCAGCAGCGGGTGGCAAGATGCGGGCGGCAGCAAGCTGTGCCGCCTCTCTGGATCCAGCTGTCTGAGGCAGCTGCTTCACTCCACCTCATTGTTAGGTCGGTGCTTCCATGATCTGACTGTGGTTCAAGCCTCAGTCAACACCAGGACTTCCTAGGGACCAGATGAGGCCCATCCAACCCACTTGACTTCCCCTGGATGGTCAGCATGGTCAGACTCTATCTCTTCAAGCTTCTGCCACCTGTTGTCCTGATCCAACTGGCCCCTTTAGGATGTCTCCACAGGGCTTATGGCAGTTATATGTGCTCAGTTCATGCACATAAAATGCTCCACTATGGTGCCATGGCATACCTTGATTAGCCTTACCCTAGTCTTCTGCTATGAAGTTTTCAAACGCAGGTCTCCAGCAACAAGGGCCAAGTGCCAAGCGACCTACATCACCAGGGTAGCTCTCAGGAAGAGGGAATTTCTATTTTGTTATTTGCTGCACTACAGAGCCACCCCCAGAATGGGTTTGCCATTCAACCTGATAGTTAAAAAGATAATCTGGAACATAGCAATAGATAAAATAACGTGGGTATCAACCGCATTGTGCTAAGGGGTTAAGGTGAAGGCAGAAATGCAAAAAGAGAGAAAAAGACAACAGTGAGGGTGGCGAAATTATAATTTTAGTTCCTTCTTTGTAACATTTCTGGCATAATAAACATGTTTTGAGAGAGGAGCTTTCAAAGTTATATGTTGCAATGATACACCAGTTAGGTCTACATCTCATGAATTTAAATGTGGCATGTAATTTCTTAGAATACAATGACCACAATGTATTTTTAAATCAAATCAAAAGCAATTTGATATACAGTGACATTTCTATGTGCAGTACGCTGTGATGTATGTTTTCCAGAATATTTTGAACTTTTTTGGGGGTGGGGGTGGAATCCTATGCAAATTAGGATAATTCACACAGGATGATTTGCATTAGAAGAAATTCAGTTGCATCAGAATTTTTTGTGATGCCCTAGAGTTTAATTTAATTTAACATTTTTATTTTACTTGTATTCAGTAAAGAAAACAAAATATTTGAAACTGACAAGCTTGCCTTATAATGTGTTTGCAGTTGTCACCCATTCATTGTTACTAATGAATGTATGAAAAGGAAAAATTTCCGTGGAAGAATATGGCACTGCCATATCACTGGTAGTATATACATTTTTGGTCAAAATATATTATGTTGTTCAAATATACAATAATATTGAATACAACTCCACCATAAGGGGACTATGGCCCATCACTAAATGTTGAGAGCCACAGAAGGATCTGAACGTCCCTCAGCATTCCTGTGCAACCTGTAAGCACCTCACTGCATAACCTGCTGATCTCATCCATATTTACTCAAAGGTAAATTACGCTGGGTTCAGGATTGCTTACCCCTAGGAAAGTATGCTTAGGACTGAACCCTAAGAAGTTTAAGGAACACACTGGATACAATTAACACGAATAACTTAACACAGGCATAGGCAAACTCCGGCCCTCCAGATGTTTGGGACTACAATTCCCATCATCCCTGACCACTGGTCCTGTTAGCTAGGGATGATGGGAAATGTAGCCCCAAACATCTGGAGGGCCGGAGTTTACCTATGCCTGACTTAACACAATAGGTTCAGATGATTTGCAACAAATATTGATTTAGGAACATTTTGATATGATTCTATTCGAAACTTGATTTTCCTTGTATGTTCATAAATCTCAACTCGTATTTGGAAAAGGTAAGAAGAAAGGAAGGAAGCTGCCTCTCCTAGAAACAGTTATTGCATAGCAATTCTATGCATGTTTACTCGGTAGTAAGTGTGATCAGTGGGGCTTACTCCCAGAAATGTGTGCATAGGATTGCAGCCTAAAATGTTCTGAGAAAAGCCACAAATCGAATGGATTTGAAGTAAATAGCCCTCCAATCGCTTTTGCAACTGGGGTCTGTTATGTAAAAATGGCAACAATGTATTTGTTGCCAAACAATATACTGACTGAATGGAAATTAAGTTAGCCTTGTGTGGTTTTCAAAGTTTACAGGAAGCATTAACAGCTTTCTGGCAAAGAGCAGCATTTAACCCTTTTTGTTGCTGGGTTGTGGCATCTCTCCATCAGTCTCTGCTAGAAAATTGTTGTTTGATTTGCAGAGAGGGGAGTGTGAAGTGTTAAAAATAGTAATTTTTCTAAAAATAGTGCAACCCAAACAAACAGCAGGCTGGCTCTTTCACTGAACCTCCTCTCCTCATCGGATATCATCCCCATTCATTAAAAGCATTGTAAATCCCATGGAGGGCTGATTGCACCCCAGCTTTACTATTTAAAAACAACAGGGGCACCACCCCGCCATCTCTAAGACACACACAATTTTCTCTCTTTCAGCATCTCAAGGGCTTTCCCCGCTCCTATACTCCAATGTAGTCCAATTTTCTTCTCCAAAATTCCTTCCGGCAAGTCAGCCAACATGCGCTAAGCTTCAGTAAATACCACCACATCATCAAAACCTTTCCATCAGCCATGCAAAGGTGCAGCGAATGGATGCAATTCAAGGTTTGTTTGATTTTTGCTGGTGCTGCTACTGAGCACTTTGAAAACGAAATGTTAGTTATTACAAATGCAGAGTTTGAGGGGCTTCCCTCTTCAGTCGAAGGGGTTAACTAAATAAGTAGAGAGACCTTTTGTCTCTCGCCCCCCCCCCACACCATCACAACAGGACAGATTCCCTAAGGTTCCCTTCCCTTCTCCATCCCACCCAGGCAAGGCAAGACTCCCCAAAGGTGTGAACTTGCTTTCCTGTCCACAAGGTAGTTGCTGCAGGATCCCAGGTCTGCTTTACTCCAAAAGGCAGAAGATAGTTTATCAGCAAGCAAGCCCCAGCGTTCCCTTGCCCTACTGTCTCTTCATTCTGATTAGTCAGAGTTGTGCAGCAGAAGGCTTCCCATTGGAAGGGAAGCCTGCTCTTCTTACACATCACTGACCAATCAGAACAAACTGCTGAAGCATGTTTGGATATCCACCAGTGGAAATGCTGTAAATTTGCTGCTGATGAACTGCCTCCTTTTCCTGACCGATGTTTGTGGCCCACAGTGGTAAGACTGTGGTCCAGTTCTAACTGCTATTACAATTATTAATTAATATGCTGTCTACTGACAAATTAGGCTTCTAACCTGTATAAACACCGATCAGATTTTATTAGAATACACAATAAAACAATCCCATTAAAAATAGTGATTAGAACAGGAGACTCAGGTCAAGAGACTGCCTTGAATGAACTGACATTGGGAATCACTGGTAATGGTTCCAAAATGCTGAATAAGAGGCAAAAGTGCTGCTCCGATTGACTTTTTGCAGGATTCAGGCACAAGGTTGGAGTGCATAGGTTTGCAAATTGAGCATAAAGAAGCATTCCACAGGCCTGGTGCCATCAGTGCCATACATCTTGAATGTAGGGAATTATTTGAAGCAGTGGCATTAAGGTATAGCTTAATGAGCTATCCCAGCGGTGAGTTATACATTAATTAATAATCAATTAAGTAATAATTCATTTATATATAGCTCCCTGCTGGGATAGCTGAGTCGCTAGAACATGCAGCTCTTAATTCAGGGTCATGGGTTCACAAGCCCCATGCTGGGCAAAAGATTCTGGCATTGCAGGGGGTTGGACTAGATGATCCTCAGGGTCCCTTCCAATTCTACAATTCTATGGCTCTCTGATATTATTAGATTGAATTAAGACAGTCAACCTATCCAGTAGAATAATCAAGGCCAATGAAGTCAAAGCAGGAAGTGGCACTGAAATTAATAAAAGTAAAAAAAAAAAACCAACCTTCAAATTTATAGAGCACTACTCTTTACTGTTGTAGTTAAAATCTGTTAGTTTTTAAGTGCAGTTATTAATTTATTCAGTACAAGTATTCAGCGCAGATATATTTAGTGCTTTATCCAGTCCCTTTTAGCCCTAGATCAGCCATCTTCTAAAATCACTGCAATGTGGAAATGACACTCTTCAAAAACAGAGGTGAAAAAGTTTTCTTTGTTAACAGCCTGTAGGCTCACGAAATTGAACCTGTTCTTTTATCTGCCGATGTTCATTTAGCCCACCAAGCAGTCTTTATTAAAGCAGAGGCACAAGGCAGTCAAAGTTCATTAATACCATTTATATAATCTCTGCAGTTTCAATTAACTCAGCAAGACATTCTACAACATGATAACAGTCTCATTAATTCAATAAAATCCCATAACTATTAACAATATGGTCTATGTTAAACGGGGTGTCACCTAGAACAAAATAATAGCTTTAACAGCTTGTGAGGAAACTCAAAGTTTTTTTAAAAAAACCTGATTTGACTAAATACTCAAGCCTTATGCAGTAAGGTATTATTTTTTAGTAAAGGATTTTTTTAGTAAATCTATAAGATTTTTTAGCACAAGAAGAGGACAGTTAAGCTGTACCAAAGAAGGAAATATTATTTGCCTGTTAATTTACTCAGAGTGTGATTCTTGTGCTACTCTCTCTTTCAGTAGAAATTTGTTATATTCCCTGAAAACAAGCAAGTTGGGTTCATCTCTTTAAGCAATGCCCCACATCACAGCTCCTCAAGGCAATTTTCAATTATTCATGTGACTAATGGGTTGGATCAAATAAGTCCACTTCAGATAATATTTACATAGACAATATTTTACCTAATATTTTCCTCATGCTTCACCAAGTTATAATGTTCCAAGTACACCATTTTTTCATATACTCAGCCAATGTTTTATATGGTTGGATAGCAGAGTGAAACCAGGCTGGGTTTAGTTCTTAATCCCACTAACAATCTGCATGGGAGGTTATTGTGTGGGATACCCAGTGTGATATAACGGCTACAGAGCTGGACTAGGACTTGTGAGACCAGGGTTAAAAATCTCACCTCAGCCATGACGCTCACTGGGTGACCCTGGGCCAGTCACCATCTCTCACTCCAACCTAACCCACAGTCTAGCTGTGAGGACAAGATGAGGAAGGAGAGAGCCATATATAGCATCACAAAAATGTAAGAACATAAGAAGAACCTGAGCACTCTCTCTTCCTGTGGCTGCCAGAAGCTGGTAAAAGGTAAAGGTAAAGGGACCCCTGACCATTAGGTCCAGTCGTGACCGACTCTGGGGTTGCAGCGCTCATCTCGCTTTATTGGCCGATGAAGCCGGCATTTGTCCGCATTTGTGGCCAGCATGACTAAGCTACTTCTGGAGAACCAGAGCAGTGCACGGAAACCGCCATTAGCGGTACCTATCTACTTGCACTTTGACGTGCTTTCGAACTGCTAGGTTGGCAGGAGCAGGGACCGAGCAACAGGAGCTCACCCCGTCGTGGGGATTTGATTGGCAAGTCCTAGGCTCTGTGGTTTAACCCACAGCGCCACCTGCATCCCTTGAGACACTGGTACTCAGAAGCATTACTGTATCCAATCAATAGCCGCCAATAGCCTTCTCCTCCGTGAATCTGTCTAACTCCATTTTAAAGCAATTTTGGAAAATACCATTAACACTGAGGACTGTGGACCCTGTATTTCAGTGATTTTGTCCCTACCAAGAGGGCCTATTTCAGAAAACAGTGCTGGGAAATGCTCAGCCTTACAGCATTTGTGCTGTAGACTCTTTAGCAGCTGTATGAAGCTACTCAGGCATCCCCGGATTTGGTCTAAGGTGGTAATCTCTATTTTTCTTTTACATTTAATTCAAGTAAAGAGGCAGCATTGCTTAACCGGTGTCTGGGATGAGTAGTAGACTAGATGAAGGTCAATAAGAGTAAGTTAACCCTAAGCAGCTAGACAAAACCAGATTTTTAAACACTAGGTAAAGGTACGGGCCAGTCTTGACAGACTCTAGGGTTGCGCGCCCATCTCGCTTAAGAGGCCGGGGGCCAGCGCTGTCCGGAGACACTTCCGGGTCACGTGGCCAGCGTGACAAAGCTGCTCTGGCGAGCTGGCACCAGCGCAGCACACGGAAATGCTGTTTACCTTCCTGCTATAAAGCGGTACCTATTTATCTATTTGCACTTAAGAGTGCTTTCGAACTGCTAGGTGGGCAGGAGCTGGGACCGAACGACGGGAGCGCACCCCGCCGCGGGGATTCGAACCGCCAACCATGCGATCGGCAAGTCCTAGGCGCTGAGGTTTTACCCACAGCGCCACCCGCGTCCCTTACTTTTTAACACTAGGAATGTGTTATTGCGGCTTTCCCCAACCTGATGCCTTCCAGATATTGCTGGACTCCAATACCCATAGGCCCCAGCCAGTATGGCCAATGGTCAGGGAAGATGGGAGTTGTAATCCAACAACATTTGGAGGGCACCTTCCAATATACCTGATTCAGAGGGTGGAAATCTACAAAACTAAAATGATGAAGATATTATGTGTTACAGAATAGCTGGGAACAGATAAGCTTCACTGTATGCACTTAAAGTAAACTAGCTTTGTTGATAAACAACTTCTACTCAACTATACAACTTAGCCTTTGGCTGTGAACATTATTTTTCTTTAAAAAAGTTTCCAGATAAATTCACATTCAGACTTTTCAAGCAACTTACTCTGGAAGAATCATCTTAAGATTGTTAAAATCTTCCGAAGTGCATGCTCAGCTTGAAAGCTTTTCTATTTTCAACATGACATACACTAATTAAAAAGATCAACTGAATTTACAAATGAATTCATTTGTATCATTTCTGCAAGCCTAACATGAACACTGCTGAAAAGTCTTTTTCTCACTAGTAATCTGTTTCAAACTTTTTTCTGCAAGTCTGCAGCACTTGTACACTATTGGTAAATGTATCTTAAATTGCTTGCATCATATTCCATGGTATTCTCTTGTTCCATGGCAGAAAAAATGCCATTCATTTATTTCTTACTTACTTGACTACTTGATTGCTAAAGTTGAAGCAAACAAGTCCATACTTTGGGTTGGATTCAGGCAAAGTTACTTACACTTAGCTCTCACTGAAATCAATATGAGTGCAGTTAGGTCATGACTAACTTATCCTATTAATTTCAGTGAGACTCAAGATAAACTTATCCAGTTCACCTGGGAGTAAGTTTTACTAAATTTAATGAGATTTACCGTATTTTTCGCCCTATAAGACGCGTTTCCCCCTCCAAAAATGAAGGGGAAATGTGTGTGCGTCCTATGGGGTGAATGCAGGCTTTCGCTGAAGCCTGGAGAGCGAGAGGCGTCGGTGCGCACCAACCCCTCTCACTCTCCAGGCTTCAGGAAGCTATCCGCAAGCCTTGGGAGCCCGGCGGGAATGCCCGCCGGGCTCCCAAGGCTTGCGGGCGGCAGCCTGCAGCCCGAAGCAAGGGGCGCGCTCCGGAGCGCACCCCGTGCTTCGCGCAGATGTCCGCAAGCCTTGCGAGCCCGGCGGGAATTTTTTTTTTAATTTCCCCCCCAAAAAACGAGGTGCACCCTATGGGCCAGTGCACCCTATAGGGCGAAAAATACGGTACTTCTGAATTGACATCTATAGGAATCTGTTGTTAGTCTTGATCTAATCCATTTGCAGAAGCTAAACAATTGTCCCTTTGGTACATATATTTTTAATTTATGAAGAGCAGCAAAGAAAGCTTTCATTAGTTAATAAGTAATAAAAAGTTTTTAACCTTTAAAAAGTTGGAAGTAGGATTTAACAGCATTGAAGAAAACAATCTGAGGGAATGTCTTATCTTGAGTAGGGAGCATATGTGCCTGAATGGTTTGCTTTCTTTACCACACAGCTAACAAGCAGTTCTTTGATTGCCTGAGCCATCACACACAACTTTGGAGATAATAAAACCTATATTATTGTTCAATCAATTGTCAAGCGTGTAGCAGGGGGAAAATGTTGAGGCAATGGATACCACCTGTACGATAGTTTCATTACCTGTTTGTAAAGTAACTGCTCATTTTCCCGAGCATAACAGAAAAGAACATCTGTAAGAATCTTTCTCACATTCTCTTCTTGGAAATACTGCATTTCAGGAAACCTGAAAAAGAAAAAAGAAAAATACATCACTTATACATACACCACAATGCTTCCTAATATGTCTTCGGTTTCCTGATTCCCAGTCTTTTAAAAAGCAGTCTTACAATCTTTTATCTTTCTTCCACTCCACAAAGCTCTTACAGGTATCATATTTATCTTTTAAATGTTGTTATAAATGACATGTTATTAACTATATTACTTAGAATATTCCACTGCTTTACACAGGTGGATTTCTGAGAGTGATATCAGCTGTGAGCAAAACTGCATCGACATGTGATCTGTGTGAGATACAAGTGAAAGAACAGCAATAAAGAATAAAAATATCAGTTATATAAGGACACAGTCAGACATAGAATGATGGCAGCCTGTTCACATGGAAGCAAGTTCAACAGAAATAAATTGTGTTTGCTTCCAAGCAAATGTCTGGTCAGAATCAGGGAACAGGGCAAGTAGAAGATTCAGAAAGAAAATCTCCCCCTCCCTCCCCGTGAGTAAAACAAATTCTAGGTAAGAAGCAACTTTGTGAGTTCCTTCAGTTAATTCATGAAAAATAACCAGTCATATAGACCTTGTAAATAGTAAACTGAATTCTATGCCAAAGTGAGTGTAACATTCTTTTTTACAATGCCTCCATTAACTAGCACAACTATCCAAACTTTAATTCCGCAATTATAACTTAGATAGTTATATAATCTTAAACATCCTGAACTATTCCCATTTAAAAACAAAAAATACCATCTGTGAAAATTAACATGAAAGCATACTTAGATTTTAATTATACATCTAACAGCATAAATGCATTTGAAAATACTGCTTTGGCACTGTCATACAAAATAAAGCAATAAGGGTTGTCAATATTTCCTGTGCATTGTTTTATTTTTTGCCTGCCAATTCTATAAATGGAAAAGGTATCAAAATGAATTTTGCATTGTAAAACTCATGCAAACTATTTTCTCATCTCAAATAACAGTAAAGAGTGATGCTACAACTAGAAAAGTAACATGCCATATAAGAAGTAATTGAGATGAATTGGAGCTACTCAGTGCAATCATTGTTCTAATTCTGACAAAATATTTTACGGAACTGAGTTCCAGCTTTGATAAGTTCCTTAACAGGAATGACCTAAGGGCTAAAGAGATGAAAGAATAATTACAATGGTAATAAGGAAGATTTTTAAAAAGCATCTCCGACAGTAGGAAAGTAATACACAAAAATAGAAATGCTAAATTCCTCTGAATGACATTTCTCACTAATTACACATCACTTTTTATTGATTAAGTGTTAAGAATTACAGAAAATCATCTGTTCAATCTTGTATTATAAACATAATTTAGTCACAAGATCTGTCAGTTCCGCTCATTCTTTTTTCTTTCTCACTGAAACCATTTAAAACACGCAATACCTCATAATATTAATTTATAATAAACCCACTTCAATATCTCCAAGATGTGTCTTTGGGATTCGAAACCAAGAGAGACAATATTCCCTTATTGATCTAGATTATTTTGAATACTGTATTTTTCTTGAAGTGCCTGTCATTCTCTTGGGCAACCATCATGTCCATATTGTATCCTCCAAAGAACTGCTCTAAATTCTTATGAAGGCCAGATTTTACCCAAAAAGTGATTTAGAACTTTGAAAAGCTATTGAAATAAATGTATGGTCCTGCGTGCTGTATCTGGCCCACTACCGCCTTTTACTGAACTCACGTGCATAAGCTCTGCCAAAAAGTACCAGCTTATCGGTCAGATTTTATTTTGGGAGGTGAAAAGGGGAAGCAAAAGCTGACCACCATCTAGTTCCAGGTGTTCCAGCTGAGGTGGCCGTACCCTTCCTTACCCTTCACCAAAGGGCTACCTAAGTACAGTGGTACCTCAGGTTACACACGCTTCAGGTTACACACTCCGCTAACCCAGAAATAGTGCTTCAGGTTAAGAATTTTGCTTCAGGATGAGAACAGAAATCGTGCTCTGGCGGTGCAGCAGCAGCAGGAGGCCCCATTAGCTAAAGTGGTGCTTCAGGTTAAGAACAGTTTCAGGTTAAGAACGGACCTCCGGAACAAATTAAGTACTTAACCCGAGGTACCACTGTATCCTCTTGTCCTGAGGGAAGGAGAGAATGAGATTCAACCACCACCTTGCCCTTGCTTTCAGAAAGACTTTCCCCTTTTTTTCAATAGAATGGCAGAGTTGGTGGGCACCACAAGGGCCATTTCGTCCAACCCCCAGCAATGCAGAAATCTTTTTGTCCAGCGTGGGGCTCGTTCCCACAACCCGGACATTAAAAATCTTATGCTCTAGCAACTGAGCTATCCCAAGCTCTTGACAGTACAGCATTAATTAACTGCTGCTGATTGTTTTAACCTTTTTATGCAAACTGTTTTCTGAGGTCCACCTGAAAAGCAGTATATAAATACTTTAAATAAATATAGAATGATAAATAATACCATGTAGGTGAGCTGGATGTTGCCTTACGGCCAAAGGTTGTCTATCTACAGCAATGTTTCACAACACTTACGTTCTTGTCACATCTTGTTCAATCATTCCTCGGAGTTCTTTATCTTGGAAAAATTTGTTCCAAAGACTCTGCAAAAGGGCAGACATTCACATGAAACACGGAATAAAACTGATGGTCTATGTAAAAAGTTTGTACAAACTGGAAACATGCTGCATTTGGGCTGCTTAAAAGAAGGCAATATTAGTGAATATCAGACTTTGGGAGGTTTTCGCCTTTTGATCAAGCTGCATTTTTCAAAAAGCCTCACACGATTGGTTTTTTCCTATCATAGAATCATAGAGTTGGAAGAGGTCCCTGAAGGTCCTCAAGTCCAACCCCCAGCAATGCAGGAATAAGCAGGGGGGCCATATGCGGATCAAACCCACAACCCTGGCATTATCAGCACCACGCTCTAGCCAACTGAGCTGAATGTCATGGAACCTAATATTATCATAGCCCCCCCCCCTTATTTTTAGTTTGCATAAATACATTAAAACATTAGAAGTTGTAATACTAAACATTGCTGGTGTGTTTTCTGCATCACTAAATTGTGACTTTTACACGCACATATACTTTACAGGTTGTTTTTTGTGGGGAAGAGGAAAGTTGCAATACAATGATGTCACACCACATGCTTTGTATCCCTAGACCAGAGGTGGCTAATCTGCGGACCTCCAAAATCAGCTGGACTCCATCTCCCATCATCCCTGACCACAGGTCATGTTGGTCAGGGTTGTTGGGATTTAAGAGTGCAATAATAGCTGGAGGGCCACTGCTCCTGCCCTTGACTAGGGAAAAGAAGAAGAAGAGGAGAGGCAAGGCTTCTTTCTTTGTTGACAGCCAAATGTCTCCTGCCATGTTTAAATCAACGTGATGGTGAATCTACAACAAAACATTTACAGAGCCGCTCAATAACTATATTGTCCAATTAAGGTCAACAGCCATTCTTGAGATATTTTTACAATTCCACAGCTGCAAACATTCGCAGAAGGCCTTGATCAGTATTCATGCAAAGCTTAAATGAAATGGCTTAGTTCACTAGAAACTAACAGAAAGCGAGAAGCTTCCCAAAATGTCTGTGGGTACGTGGTCACTGGAGAGTCCAATATCACCCTCGAAGCACTGTATGTTGCTTTAAAAATAATATGACATGCTAGTTCAACATGCAATGCATCAACATTATTGGTTCCACTTGATATTCACTGGAAGAATTAATCATGGTATATTCAGCTGTTTTTAAAATTGCAGAAATGTTTAAATAAAAGAGCTGATGACTAACATTTATTTTAAATGAATAAGAACAGGTGGCAACTCTCGGAGAGAATGAAACCAAGTCCCAGCTCTGATCTCTTGCTCATCAAGGCATCATCAGCTGAAAGTGATGAATACTCAGCATGCTCCACTTTTGGAGAAGAGCATCTTCAGCTCCTTTTCGTCTGTTTAGAGATGGTATATCAAGTGTCATAGGCTTGCTTCACTTGGCTACTTGAATAGTGGACCTAAAGGTGAATTTGAATAGAGGCTGAACGAAAAAAATTCACTAGATGCAAATGGGAAAAAGAACATCTATAGCTTGCATAAAACTGTGTATTTATATTGGGAGTGATAAGGGAGTGAGTTCACACAATGCTGGCTGCTGGATGATGCAGATACTGCAACCGGCTTGAAGGATTAAACACCCCCCTTGCTTAATGGTTGTCAACCTGACATTAGATGCTTGGGCCCTCAAAAAATCCACTTAGTAATCTTTTGAAATTGGACCCTGGTCTATGTCAAACTTCTGGATGTTGAATTTCTTACTGATGCTGACTCTGAATATACGCTGCCATTTGATTTATCTATTTTTTCTAGCTAATCATGTTATAGTTCAGCAGTAGCCAATGTAGCATCTTCCATACGTTGTTGAACTCTCATAAACTCGGATCATTGGCAATTATCTCTTATAGTCGTCATGACTAACTTGTCCCACTGATTCAAGTGAGGTTAAAGCATGTCTAAGAGGAAGGCACATTTGGCAAATCCTCACCATGATCAACTCCCGCTCAGAAACCTATGTCCCCACTGTGGAAGGATGTGTGAATCCATAACTGGCCTCCACAGTAACCTATGGACACATTGTTAAGACAATATTCATGGAAGACAATCCTACTCAGCTACGAGTGATCACCAAAGAAGAAGAAAGCATGACTAATTTAATCTGATCCAACCCTATGATTTCTATATTTTTTCTGGTTTTAAGTGTTTTTATTTCCTTTCCCCCCTTTTAGATCTTATTTCCTATTTTGATGCTAGGTGTTAAGTTTGAAGGGTTGGCTGATAGAATATTATTTTTTTACATGATGAATGTACAGATCCTTTCCTACTGAAATTCCCAATTCAGTCACATCCTTGAGCTACTATCCACTTCAGGCAACTATGGGAACAAACAATAACTCTGTTTCTCACACCGCTATACAGTGTCACAAGTACTGTGAACTATGATGGTAGGCCATGATACATTTAAGATGTATACTGTGTTATCTAGTGCTATTTTTCTTGAAAAAGAGGTGCCAGAACTCATGATTGCCTCCCACGTTTTCTTTAGAATGGCAATAGCACCCACCTGAAAGGTGTCAGAACTGAGTTCTGGTGAATTCCAGGTGACAAAAAGGCCTGGTGTTATGTCCTTTCCTTTGGATCAGGAGAATGCATGTTAACCACCCGAACTGACACTATCTCCTTTGACTGTGACATCTCAGTAAAGTGAGCACACTTTACCCTATAATGTAGTACAAAGCAGTATTACTGAGTTCACTATGAGAGCAGGAATTTTGCTCCTCAAGAAGAAAACAACCCACAAGCTGACATGACCTGGGTTCCAGCATTTTCAGTGTCAAGGCACACCAAGCTACAACCTCATTTCATCTCTTTTGGATTAGCTGTCCATATCAAGGATACTTCTACTCTTTACTTGATGAAGAGCATCGGAGGTTTTATTGCATGCTCCGGATATAATATGAAATAAGTTATAATTACCCCTTCATCCTGTGAAAGTGGGTTGTTGATCATCAAGTCTTGTTGTCCAGCTTTTCGAGGATTCGTAATATGCTGTGAATAGGAATTAAGACCTTTAGATTCTCTATTAGACATGCGGAAAATATTGAGGCAGAGGGAAGGAAATATGTATGGATTCAACTTACTATTTCTTTAATCTTGTTATACAGTGTTCTTAATTTTGTTGTTTTACTGATCCATTGACTTCTGTCAGAGGGGAGAACATTCAGAAACAGCTGCAGATCAATGAAACATTGGTTGGTTAGAAAGACAAGCAAGTTATATTGACGTAGTGACACTTTCTAAACAGAATCATATTTGTAATTTGGAGCTTTGGTATTTCGTGGTAGGATATAGTAAATTGAAATAACTGTGGTGTGCATGTTCAAAGGATTCACTGAAAGGCATCTGCCAAAGATGTTAAGCCCTCAAACAGGATCCTCTTTAATACTTCTCACTTGTGCAGTATCTTTGGTATATTTTGCATCATATTGTGCTATCTAATGTGATATTGTAAATTAGCTGCCTCAACAGGTTAATCATATATTCTGACAGACCATATCTGCTTCACTTGTCAGCTCCACAGACTCCTTGCCTGTTGGCAATTGACCTGAGCAGCCCCTCCTACTTTGCTTAACCTAATCCTATAGGAAGGTTGCTTAGGGTTCTTATAGTCTCATCCCATAAAAAGAAAAGGATATACAGAACTATTTTAAAAGCAGGGATGACTGATAAATCCTGATTGAAGATCTTAAAGATTAGTTGCACTTTCAGTGAAAAAATACGACTTTGATCAAAAATTTCACAATGAAGCATGCCCAAGTGAAATATAATTGACATAAATCCTTCAATATGAACAGTAATTTAGTTGTAAGGTATTTCAAATCATTAATTGTTCTGTGAATTATAAAAATCACCAGAAGAACATTGGGATGGAATCTTTCAAAATTCAGTTGACTCTTTACATCAGCAATCTTCAAGTGCATCAGGTAATACGTTGGTATATTACAACTACAAGCTGTAAATAAATATTTTCTTCTTACCTTCCAACAAACACTACGGAACCTGCTGCTTCTCAGCTGCCCATTAATCCCCTTCAGCCGTATTGTTGCCAAGTAATTGTTGTTTACAAATAATTCTTCCCATTCTTTGCTACATGGAATGAACAGGGGGGGAAAGAACTTTTAAAAATTATTATTAAAGACTTAGCTGACTGTGAAGCAATATAACATGAAGTAATTTTGGGTAAACAAAAGGAAAGGAAGTTTTAAATGTATATATTTAGCAGTGTGCTATTTCTAAACGCATGGTTGTCTTTTTGGACACATTTCTTCCCTGGATTTAATGAATATGTAGATCACTATAATTATGCCAGCTACTGAAATTCATAATGTCTGTGGAGGCTATTCCATTTCCTCTAAAATGTTGGTACTGCAGTTCAGTGAATAAACAAGAAAAATGAATATTAATATAAGCACATTTGGGTTTCAACCATAGATAAAGCAGTACCTATTTGAAAGAATACCTAATTTCAAAATATGGTACAAGGAAGTATAGTGTTGACTATTATTTCTGCACATGACACATTTGCCTAAATGAAGCCTCTTTTCTACATAACGTCAAGCTGGGCAGTTAAGCATAATAGAAGATGACTTCCGTTAACTTTTAGTGCTGTTTACTACTGCAGTCTCTTCCACTTCTTTCTACATGATCAGTCTTAAAAATTTAACAGGTGCTAGCAAATTTTTAAAAAATAAATTTTAAAAAACCCCTCACTGTATAAACTGTTAAAGGCAAGCTTGAGTACCTTGCAGTACCTACGGCTGACTAGATAAACAACCTAAATATGCCTCCTAGGCACAAAGACACCAGGGGCCTAACACCTGTGCTTCATTAATGTACAAGTAAATCTACTCTACTGGGAAACAATTGGAAATTAATTGTCCCAAACCATTTAGTGAATTTGAATACAAGAATTAAACTATATTTTCTCTATTTTCCACTGAACTGAATCTCTAGAACAATACCACCCACCTGAGGATCTAAAGTGAAATAGCCCAAAGACTTCCTTGAGTCACTGAATTAACAAATATAATTTGACTAAAACAAAAACAAAGACAAACTAAAACTTCTTCTCACATAAGCAAAATCAGAGATTCCTTGGTTTGTGGGAGGAGGTGAAGGTAGGTCATGAAGTAAAAGCAGGCTATGCCTCAGTTGCCACATTTGGTGAAAGTTAAAGGTTTATGGTTTTTCTTCCTCAGATAAAAGTATGAATGGTAACTCAGACCAAACATTGGTTACATTTCTTGATTTGTGTGGAGTAAGACAAACCAAGAGCCTGGGTTCAAACACAATGCTAACTCAAAGTGGTGCCTCAGCAGCGGAAGGAGGCAGCTACTATCGCCTTTGCTCCTGACCTGACCATTTGCTCATTCGTGCTAAAGGTTTGCCTCTGTGTTCCACAAGAACCAGGTCACTGCTAGGATTCCAGACTGGGCAATGTACTTGTTGGACAAAGTAATGTGCAACTCCTAGAAAAACTTTTGCAGGCTAAGCTTTGTTCTGATCAAGCAAATACAATAAAGAATCCAGACATACGTTTAAAAGAATTGGGGCATACATCAACATACTTTACAAAACTATTATAATCTGATAAACGACATAAAAGAAGAAAATGCAGAAAGCAGAAACCACTGTTGCCAGCTATTTGTTCTGTGGAAGGAACAAAACACGCCTAATAAAAATGTGTGTTTTACCAAGTCTTCTAACTAGAAAAAATGTTTTTTTTTTGCACAGCATAGTGTCTGAAACTTTTATGGGAAATTTAGCAGAAATGTAAGAGTTGCAGATTAGTAATGCCAGCCAGAGACGTTAAAGCCTGGCCTCAGAAACAGGAAGAGCTTCAGCATTAGGACTGCAGGTGCCAAGATCAACCAGATAAACACTGTTATCTATAATTACTTCATTTTTAGCTTAAATCACAGGTAATGAGGGAACTCAGTCTCAAAAAGGCAATTAAGAACTGTACACAGTCTTTCTGCTTTTTGTACAAAGAAAAATATTTTAGAAATTGTTCAAAGATTGATCCATTTTAATTCTCCTAGATTTATTTAAAAAAAATAACATGCAAATAATTACTAGTAGTACAAAGGCAAACAGTTTACAAGAGTGTAGGACATATTTGTTACTGACATTGGTTAAAATAATGAACCACAAAGCCATACAACCATCTAGCAAAATTAAAAATTATCCAATATATCATTTAAGTATCCCTGGTATTTTTATTATGTGGCCATTTCATAATTTTCATAAAACTTTATATACAAATAGTCTATATGTGTACATTTAGCAAGAAGAAACTAGTTATTCCTCATATACAAAAACAATCTGACAAGTTAAAATAATCTCATGCTCTATGAGAAGGCAGGTGAGGGGCCATAGAATCGAGAAGAACCACTCCATGGTAGAGATGGTGGCAGAATGGCACATCTCCAGGACAGCAGTGAAAAGCTTCACTGATGCCGCTGTCCCAGTAGCAATGTCCTGAGGGTGGTGGGGGTCAAAACAGGACATTCTGAAGGTGTGTCAGAGGACACGACAGCTTTGCAGGTTCCTAAGCCCCTTCACTCTCCCAAAAGGCTCCACAAGAAGCCTCAAAACCATGTCAGTTCTGGAGCTGGCATAATTTATTCCCATCCATTGCTGTCAATGGGGGGGGGGGAGCAGGGAGAGAAATGAAACAGGGGAGGCCACTCACATCTCCCACCCTGACCACCATGAGTCACCAGGGATTTGAGTAAGGCAATTGCTTCCTATAGAATCTGTGCCCCATGCTCCCCTGCAATAGATCACTCAGCTAGTCTCTCTGGTTCTCCAGTGCTTAGAAGTCTTGAATTTTGGGCAGAGGAATTTAATAAACAGCAAAGAGCAAAGTGGCTTTTAAGTATCAATGTTCAGCATATGGTTGTCAAGGGTTGAGTGTGGAGGTGATGAAGCATCTATTTTATTTTTTCTTAAATTGACATTTCTCATCTGATTGACAGTGATGGGCATTTCACTCCATTCAGATAAAGGGTGCAAATATCCAGAACAGGGAAAGCCAATATGCTGCCGTTGAAATATTTTGGCTACGACTCCCATCATACCTGGCCATTGGCCATGTGGCTGGGTCTCATGGAAGCTGTATAAATCTGAAGACTACCACATTGTCAGCTTCCACCTTTCTATATCAATGGTAGCCAAAGAGCCAAACATGAATCAAACTGGAACTACTTTTGCCCCATTGTCACAAATGTAGGGCATGGGATCAGAATTGAATCTGATGGTATGACCTAAACACACTAGGGAGCAAGCAATACTGAACACAACATAATCCACTTATGAGTAAACATACACAGGATTGCACTGTAAGACACTAAAACTTTATACGTTCACAAATCAACAAGATGCGGTCCCCAAACCATTTAATGTGCTGGATGCTAACAACAGACAATGGGTTGCCAACATTTTTGGACAAGTGAGCAACAATTTTGAATTTTGAGGGTTAAGCCAGAGTCAGTCACAGAATGGCTGCCATGGAAGCACAATATTAGAGAGAGATTGCTGCTTCTTTGACCCCACCCCCCTGGCCCAATAACCTCATGCTTACCATGAGAAGTCAGCAATGTCCTGCTAGCCCTGACTATGAAGATACAACTGTTAAGGCTCAATAACCAATTTTTCTCATTGCCAATCCTGTACAAACTTACCTGGGATTAAGTCTCATTAAACACAAAGGGACTTCCTTCTGAATAGGCATGTGCAGAATTAAGATAATGCTTAATTAATAAGTGCTTGGCTTTAAGTCCTGCATAGCACGAGACAAGCCTCAGCCTTTTAGCAAAGTTTTCACATCTGTATTTGCTATTGGAGGGAGGAGGGTGAACATCTACACAACTTGTTTAGCTGTATTTGTGCAGAAAAAAACTTTTAGGGACTACCTGATCTCAGATGAACCCACCACAGGAAATATGGATCCTGGTTACTAGGGAAAAGGGAAGAACGAACTATGGAGATACAAAGGACTTATTTGAGAGGAATAAGCTGAAGCAGGAGAAGTTCACTAAATGAAAAATGAAAGCTGCAGGTATTTAGGACCTGAGGGATTCCTACTGCCTGTTGTCTAAACCACTCATTTATGGATCATAGCTCTGGCTTTAACTTTACTCTTAAGTCAGGTACTTGAAGACCAGGACTCGGGGTGCTTTCACATCTGTGTGTTAATGCGCACAGATCTGATTTTCCATGTGCCCTTTTGTGCACATTAGTTCACACATGGGAACTTTCAACTGAATTCTATTTCAATGTTTCTCATCTACGCTAGTGGGCTGCACTTGATGAGATGTAACGGCACTGTGTGTTGCACCCCCAAACCCCTCTCCCCTCAAGGACTACTTCCCAATTCTCCCTAAATTCCAGATTGTTGAGATCCATTGTGGGCATATGCACATATATTTGTTTACCTGTGCATGTGGCATTTTTATTTTTGAGATACAAATGTTCTGATATTTCAGATTTGCACAGAAAGTGAGTTTTAAAAGTGCACAAATGTGTGTGTTGTGGCCAGACCTACAGACCTACTAAGGAATGTCTCACCAACAGCAGGTGGGGTTGATAGATGGAACTCAGGTAAACACATGTAAAGCAAAAGAAATGGGTGAAATAGACAAATTGTTTGAATAGTGTCATGTGATGCAATAGTTGCAAACACTATTCTCTGATAAAAAGAAAAATAACTTTAAAATCTATTAACCACAGAGTTACTGAAAGATTCTGGCACCTTTGTCTGCTACAGGATACTTGAAACTAAAATTCTAGTATTTGCAATCATCTGCAGACTCCCGAACTACTAAACTTGGCCAACAACTTGCTTGTGGTTCTGCAGCAGATGTTCTTGCTTTTAGGTCACTAAAAACCTTATGGACTAGTTTCACTCTCCAAGGAGGAAGTGCCAGCATGATTAAGATCTGAAAAAGCACAACTCAACACCACCAGAAGCATGGTGCCATTTATCTGTCAATTTCAGTCACACTGGCACAAAGATGATTTGAGCTTGGAGTTTAAATGAATCCTGATAGCATTATTGCAGTGCATTACTTAGGCCCACTGTG